TTACAGTTAACAATTCAACCCCAAAGAATTCATGTCAGTTATCAAAACTAAACTTATTTTGCTTAACGTCTCGATAACAAATATTTTATTGCCTATTTATAATACATACAGTATTAAGATTAGAAATATTAGAATCCCACATCAACACTCCCTGGCAAAAAATTTTATTAATAAGTGGAAAAAGTCTGAATTTGGTTTATTGAATAAGGGAATAAAGAATATTTAACCCTAGTTTTAATTCGTCCTCTTAGTATACTCTCATTAGTATTTTTTTTGAGTGATCCTCTATTAATAAATTGGATAGTAGTTATTCATTTATTTTTAATCGCCACTCATAATTACAAAACAATCATCAAATGCTTGACTGAAACAATCCAAAATATACATATTTTACTGCTTTTCAAATATTATAAAAGTGAAATACATTTTTTTATTAAAACTTTGATTTTTAACCAGATGTTGTATTCACTAAATTTTCTTATATATTTATTAAAAAAATTGGATACATCAAAAAAATGAGCAACAAAATTTAAAGGAAAATGAGAATTTTGATTCATTAGAGCATTATAGAAGAAGCTAGATGAAATTATTTAATGGAATCATTTTTATGGGTTTAAAACTACTTATAGAACTGAAAAAGCATTATTAGAAATAAATAAGCTTTGAATCTCTAGCCTATACTTAAGAAGTTCAATGTGTTAAATATCAATTTAGGTGAATTATAGCAAAAAATGAAATTATATGATAAGGCATTTGAAGATGTAAATCATAGCATATCTATAAATAATAATAATGCTGAAAGTTATTATTAAAGAGGTATAAATTTGATCTTATCATTTAAGTAACAATTTATTGGAGAAAATAATTATTTGATTCAGAATTATAAGATTGTATCAAGTGTGTTTAGATCAATCCAAACTTTCCAATGAGTTATAAATATGTTGATGACTATTATAACAGAGCTGAATATTATTAAACCTAATATATTAGGCATTTTATATTCTATATATTTAAAAGATCAAGAGATTTTTGAGATTATATATATAAATTATGATTATGTATAATAGAAATCTGTTGTAGATTAGTTAGAAAGTACAAAAGCGCTTCTATATTCACCAGAATCAAAAAAAATCCATAACCTAATTTAACATACTAAAAATTTGAAACCTTTTTAAAAAAGAAGGATCCATTATTAATTGCAAGACTATAGGAATATAGGAATATAAAGAAGTAATACACCATTGTTTAGATCACTTCTATTAAAAAAAATTGAATTATAATTTTAATAATGTTATCTTTTTTTATTTTTGAATAGCGTTTTGATTCTTCAGATTTATTTCTTACAAAACTGAGTAAGTTAAGAATTAAAAATAATAAAATGTAAATAAATTAAAGGAGCTGATATAATAATCCATTTCTTTATCAAATACAATTTAATTAATTAAATGAACCTTCATCTTGATTGTGCTATTAAAAAAAGTAAACAAAATCTCTGATTATATCTACATATTCATTAAGAATTTTTGAATGTTGAAATTTTAAGTTTATATATCCAAATAAATTTAAATTTACATTGACTGAAGAGGACATTAATTTTAGAGTTTAACTCGCTACAATAGCTTTGGAGGGATGTGATCTATTAAAAAATTAATCCAAAATAAAATAAAGGGAATAATGAAGGAGTAAAATTAATTATTAGAAGGATGAAAACAAAAATATTGCCAAAGGGAGTAGATTTATAAGTAGATGCCATAAATTGAAAATTAAAAATAAGTATATTCTCATTCGAATTTTTTAATCTTAATTCATGTTGTTATTAATTTATTTATAAAATTTTCATCACCATATCATAATTTTTTTTCTGTTCTACAATCCATTCTCTAGTAATTATCTATTTTTTGCTAATTATACATTTAAGGTTTCATTAACTAGATCATAATTAATTTCGCAGTACATATATCTATGTAGTAAGAAAAATTTAATTTGATAAAAAAGAAGCCTAAAAGTTTGATTTACATAGAGGGTTTTTTTTATTATGAAGGAAAAAAATGAGATTTTAATTGTCTATTAAGAGCTAACATTCATTTTTTTTAATTTAATTTAAAGGTTTAAGAAATTGAATATATAAATAATATTTTTGTTCTTAGTTTTTCTAATGTTAAGCACTTTCTCTTTTAGATAAGGTTATACAACTGAGTCCTTTTTTAGATTTGAAAGTTTTATCATTTTATTTCATTCTTCACTATACTTCATATAATTGGAGCTAACTAATCGCTTATTTATCATAATAATAGATTATTATAATTTTAATAAATACAACTTTATAAAAATATTCTATTTACATTATTTAATAATGCATTTGATAATAAATATAATAACAATAATTATAATAAAAATAATATATGCCTTAACTAAAATATATCCTTGTTATAAACTGAGTCTAGTACCTTTCATTTCCTAGAACCATAAGAAAAAATTAAATTCTAGACATGAGAGATTATCCAGGTTTTTATATATTAAGGATATAGAAAGTTATTGTCTGTTGTAGTTGACATTTGGAATGAAGTTAATAAATAAGATAAAGTTGGATGATAAAATATTTTTAGATTGACAATCAATTACTATTTAAATAACTATGTCACATCCTTTTCATCGAAAGCATTAAATAATTATTTATTAAATATTGTAATTCGCGATGGAAACTTTATAATTTTTCTATCGTTGTTTTTTATGCACAAGACTCCTATGAAGAATTACTAGAGTTGAGAGGTCTAAACTCAGAAAATTTAAGTTATGTTGAAACTTTTAAGAAGAACTACACTGAATAATATTATACTTTTAAAGAATGGAACCCCATCCTTATATAAGGGATAAATTAAAATTTATAAGGAATAAATTAAACTTAAGAAGTTTCACTTGAACAAGCAGATGAAGCTTAAATTTAATTATTTGCCTTTCTATTTGGCCCATTTGAAATTAATGATATTATCTCCAGTTATAAGGAAATTGCAATAATCTTCAATTATAAATCAGATCCATTTTCCTTATATGTAGAATTGCTTAAACTGATTATGATCCTATTTAGTATATAGATGATATGTTTAGAAATGAGCTTCCATATCAATTATAAAAAGATTAAATAAATTGTTTCAAAAAATCTTTTTTGCTTAAACTTTTTACCAAGAGAATGATCTTAGAGAACTGTTTAAGAAGTTTAGTTTTGATAGCAGTTTGGATTTATAAAAATTAATTTTAAGTTCTTATGAATTGAATTAAGATAATTGATAATTATAATGAAAAAAATCCCTATAACCAGTTTAATATGAACCCATTTTCGCTTCATTGGTAAATAACTGATAAATTAAATTCATAAATTGATAAATAATCAGAGTTATTTGGAACTGCTCTAGCAAATGAATTAAATTAATTCAAATCACCTTTTACATATAAAAGGTTAGCCATACTTAAAGCAATAGTTTGTGAAACTGAATAACAAATACTACAATAGATTTTAGAATAATTATCAGTTCAATAAGTATAAGGATTAATTAAAAATATTTCATAATTATTGGAAGATTATTCTGTTTATATTAATCGAGTTTATTTATGCAATAAACATTTGAAAAATAAAAATAAAATTCTTCCTACAGATTTGAGTGTTATTTCTTAAATATGTTTCTAGATCATATAAGATGGTAACTTAACGTAAATATAAAATAGCATTTATGAAATATTTGCTAGATAACTTAATGAAACTTTGTGTTTAAATCCTTTCTAAATTGAAAGCGATGCTTAAAGAGCTTGTAGATCACATATAAATAGAAAATATTATTAGTAAAAATTTAACAATATGGAATCAGGATTTAGCAATCAAATTGCATAGACTCCAAATTAATTAACTACTGAAAATTGTTCTTTATTCTAGTTGTAGTTTGAAAAAGAGGAAAATTAATATAGAGCTCTATTAATTTAGTATTCGAATGTTCAAAAACATATTCATAAAATTCTGAAACCAATAAAGAAAAATTTATAGATAGACATGTTCGAAGTTGTAGCTTCAAGTTGTTAAAACACTTTTTATAGATGATGTTTATAATAAAATGAATAAAAATTTACGATAGGGTTGTTTAAATATTTAAGATGTACTATTTGCCTATCTCCATACGTAAAGATTTGATCCACTTGCTTATTTCTCCTTTTTGGGCTATTTATATCCTTTGATCCATACAATGTTTTTGGCATTTTCTCCCAAAAGTTGATGTTCAGAAAGCTTAAAATTTTCAAATAAAAATTCATGGTTTCCCTATTACATTATGAAAATAAAAAACGATTCTATTATTTTAACTTTCTATTCTCTTTGAAATTTTATTAGCTAATCTGAATATAATATATTATTTAGCCAATATTAATTACTATATTTAAATTAATTTCTCCTTTTTCTCAATTTTTTAGTTCATCAATTTATAACAAAATATGATTTTATATTAAGTATTCTACATAACAAATTTTTACTTCATTTATACATCTTAGATAATTATAAATCTAATCATATTCATGGTTCAACTTGGTGATTAAGTTAAAATCTTAAATAAATTTAGAAAAAAGTAAGCAAAATATTAATTTCTAACGGTTATGTAGTTAAATAATTCAATACTTATAAAATTTAAATCAGAGGCTAATTATCATTTTTAGATTTACAAGATTGTTAGTCGCCAATCTAATCTCCTGTGAACAATAGCAGTAAATAATAGGATTAGGAAACAGCAGGATAGCAAATATTCAAATCTATTAAAAAATTGTATTACAGTGTTTTTGGTTGATCATACCCCCAACTATAATTTCTATAAAGCAACTGAGTGGATTAATGAATTAATGAAATTAAAAAAAATGCTTTCATTATAATCTGAAAAATTCATTACAATTTTTATTGGGAAATAAAATTTCCCCTTAAAAATTTTAATGAATTTAATCAAGCATATTCTTGAGTCAAGGGTATAGTAAAGGTTCTAGTAGCTTTAAAGGATAAAAGTAGTATTAAGATGGCTAATAAAATGGCTAATTGGTGGACTTTTCCTCCCTTATTAATCTAAAAAGGGAACACGATCTACTACAATTCGACTTCATTAAATAGGTCTTTAGATTTGAATAATAACATAGCCAAAAATAGAAGTTGGGTCAAATTTCTAGCCAAATAACTAATATAAAAGCAAAAGCCCTGAGATTAATTATTACTTATTCTATTCTGACTGTGAAAGGCGTGGATATCGATGCATTTGTTATGGGGATGAGAATATTGGGAGGTAAACCTCTTATAATTGATCATGACATAAACTTCAGAGAACAAAAAATCTTCTGGAGTAGATAGATAAATTTAGAAAGTACAGAAAGATTTAAACATACTTCAAATCAAGGATTTAATTAGATTAAAAAAATTAATATCCCCATTAATTAATAATGATACATCAGAATAAAAACTTATAAACTACTTAGGTAATGATGATAACCAAGGTTTTAACCCTTAACAAGTTAGCTGGAGGAGATAAGATAAATAGATTAAAGTACACTAAATGGAGCGTAAAAATTTTATGAAGATATTCAAATATCAGATGCTAATCTCTTAGCCTTAGACTAGCTGCTACTAACCTGAAAAACAATAGTTTAAATACATTTACTTTAATTATTATTATATTCTTAATTGAAATTTATCACCACTGATAAGCATGAATTTCATAGTTATTATTTAAATTGTATAATTAATATCGTTTTATCATAATGATGGTTTATATATTTTATTGCTAATTTAATATTAAATGAGATATTTCTTTGTGATTGATTATGAAAGTAGTATCTAGCAAATTTTACCAATAATCATAGAATCAAAAAAGATATGATATGAAATTTTATTCAATGCCATTATACTTTATTATTGATTGCGACAAAAATGTAGACAATTCATATAAATAATAACTGATTGTTCAAGCATCGAATGCTATATAGCTATCTCCATAAAATCATCTACTGTTTCATATCTTTCAGGACTAATAACATATGATTCTTTGTCAAAAAACTCTAAAACCATTCCTGAACTGTAATATATGCATAGTTGCAAAAATGATAACATGAATGTTTCTAGCAATCAATCTCCATGAACACAATATAAAACAATTTTTTTATTTTATTGCATACTAATTTAGACAGGATGAAGAAATTAATTTTCCACGATGGGGACTCATAAAGCAAAAAAGCCCAAGAATAACTTATTATAAGTAAAGTTAACCTTCATATATTTGAATTTTTTTATGATTCTCATAATCTGTTAATATAATAGCGAATTTATCAAATAATCTATCCAAAAATAATGCAAGTATCAAATTTATAAATTCTGGTTCAGTAACTTCGAATAAAGCTGTAGAATAACTAGGCTCTGTAAAGCTTCCACATCTTACAATGCATCAAAGAAAAACTTACTTGTAATATAACCATGACAGATAATCAAGCAAAAAATACTAAGTTTTTATAAATTTGAAAAGAATAATATATTTAAATGCTCTTTCTCAATTTAACTTGAGTAATAACAATCAAATTATGATCTTTAATAAGTTGTACCTTTTTCCAGAAAAATGAAATAAACATTTTTGGTTAGATATCTTTTTAATCATAAAATACTAGTAAGATTTTAGAACTATCTTTGGATATAAATTATATGATTAAGAAACCTAATTTTACTTAATTAAAATATCGAAGAGTATTGTTTTCTTTAGATTAATTTTATGTAAGAATCTAATATTTTCTTTTTCTTTATATTCTAGAAACTTACCTCTTCTAACTCAAATATAATAAATCTATCTAATTTATAATTATCTAAATTAAAAGCTTCTTTAATAGCAGCTTGCCCTGCCTATCTGCCTAAATTATCAACTTAACCACTAAATAACCCATCTTTTAAATTTTAAAATCTTTCTCATTTTGCTCTTTTCCTATATTCATTATTTTTTTCTTCTGTCTCTAATTTTTTAGATGAATTTATAATATTCTTTTTATTTCTAGAACCTTAGCTTAATTTTTATTCTCATTATTTTCTCACTCTATTTTCTTCTTCAATTATTTTAATAAAAATTCATCATTAGATAGGTAATAATATAAATTCTATTCTATAGACTCTAATATAATGAGATTATCCATAACTTCAAATTCTGTAGCATATTTATTAGCTGCAAAAAATTTAAACATCATTAAATTGCTTCCAATTAAGTCAATATTCTTAAGTCTTCACATTTAGGACTATCAGGATTAGGAAATCTAATACTTATTCAATATATATACTCTATAACTACATCTTCCATATGATAGTCATATTCTATTAAAAATTAGTATTTATCTAGTAGCTAATTAAAATTTTATTTTATAATGCTTTCGAAATTTTCACTTTTAGACTGCATATATATTTTTTTTTTTCGGCTATTTTTCCCCTATCAAATTTAAAATTTCCGAAAAATAATCATAATATGGAGAAAAACCTGTTTACATTAATTTGGTTTTTAAGTTATACGATGAATAAAAATAAATCTTGAAATCTGATAGAAAATGATAAGTTAAACTAGGTTAACTTGATATCTATACCTTTATTTTTGAGTAGAGCATAAAATTATAAAAACAATAATTTAATGAACACATTAAAGATTTCTAATAATATTTAAAAATAAAAAATAAAAAATATGTGTGGAATTCTAGAAGTTAAAAATTTGATTGAAGTTCTTTAACATCGATTTGTACTTGAATCTCACATCAGTGTTTAAAACGAAATGACTTATAAAATATTTAAATATGATAATATCAAGCACCCTCTTCAAATAATTTTACAACGATTTCAATTTGAGTTTTATCCTTTTTGAAATTGCTTAAAGTTGCCTATCCTTAGAGACTTTTTTGGGAATCCAATTCAATTGAATTGAAGCCCTTAGTAATAAAAAATACTAATTTTCTAGCGAAGAGATCAATTTTCAATACATTAGTGAAAGTAAATTTCAAATCTTCTAATGCTATTTTTGTATTGAAGTCCTAATTTTATTTATCATTGTACCATAATGATAAATTTTTCAAAACGAGGAAATATAAATTTAATCCGCTCGTATTCACAAATCATTTTAGAATTAAAAAAATAATTAGGTTTTAGAAATAAATTTATTTATTTGTGAAATTATGCAATAGAATGGTAAGATGATATGATAGAATTTGTAATCAATTAAATCCATCACGAATTATACAAATATAGTAAATAATTTTTTAGAGATTTAAAAATGAATCATAATCGAAAATATTGAATTCTAAACTGATTTATTTACTTCTTACCATTAAAATATAACTAATTATAAATAAATCATAACTTATTTATACTTCTCAAGGCTTATTACTTTTGTTTAATAAAAAATAAATTAAATTAAAATTTTTTGAGTTTTTTAATGATATTAGAAGAAAAAAATTGTTATTTATATTCAACCATTTTGGTTTTAAAACTAAGAAAATACTTAATTTCTTGTTTAATATTTTAAGATTGCAAAATTTTAATTCAGTTTTGTTTACATATATTTATAATATCTATAACAGCCCTTAAAAACCTAATATTGATATATAGACTGTAATAATAGATTATTTAACTTATTTAGTATAATTAGCTAAAAAGTAATTTGTAAAATAGTAGAGTAATAATACTTATATATATTGGATCACTAATATGTTCTTAGAATTTCTATTAGAGAGCTCAACATTGTACTGAAATTAGTGCTGAAAATTTATAAAACTCTAATAACAATATGAAATTTATTTGTATCCTTATAAGAAGAATTATTGATTATCAAAAATTACTGAATAAAAATCAGTTATTCGCTTCAACTTATTTTTTCACTCCAATACTTTATAATTTCTCAAAGTGATTACTTTACTACCTCATTATTTTTCAATTAGAGGAAATATTCTTAACTTGCATGATTTTCCCTATTATTCTGTATTGGATAATTAGCTCTCATTAAATAAATTTAATTTGCCCTTTTATGTATAATATTATATTGATTGGCTATAACAAAAAGAATCTATAAAAATATTGACAAATCTATTATTAGATGATAGTAATTAAAAAGACCTTATTACATTATTTTTATTAGTATATTTTGGATAATATAAAGAACAAAATAAGGTTTAAATATGATGATCAATAATTAAGAAAATCAGACTTTAATATAAATTTAATATATATTCACAATTAATGATTCAGCATATTAATTAAAAAATTTTGACAACATATTCCATAATTAGTTAAAATAAAAGATTAAATACTTTGCAGCATCTCTCATTATCATAATTTATAATAATGTCCAAAACAAAAAGTTATGAAAATGGAATTAAATCAATGATAACACAAATTAAGAACTAAATTCATCAATTTTTAAGATAAAATAGACTATAAATTTTAAAAGTCAGAAAGTTTGATTTTAGTCAAATCTACTTTCTATTAGATCTAATAATCGAAAAAGTAATGAAAACTAATCAACATCCAAGAGAGAAACAAACAAAAAGGAGATTCACTCTTTAGCCCTTAAGAAATAATGCCTCAAATAAAGAATTGCCAAGATAAGATCAAATATAAAACAAAAAGAGATTATTTAAAAAGAAAAAATTAGAAATAAAAGCTTGGACCATCTCAACTACAAACCCAACAGATTAATGATGAAATATTTTATTGTTTATTCTACAATTTCTATTCTATATAATTATTTTATGATTGATTTTGAAAAATATTAAAATACTTAATGAAATAACTAATAAATATTTGATTAATCAAAACCATGAAAATATCAATTTTATTTATGATAATAATTAGTAGTTTAGATGCCATAATTTGAAAAATGTAATCAAACCCAATAATGGATGAAATACTTAAAAATTCTTAGTATTTTCTTATCATATCAGATACTTTTATTTGATGGATAATTCAAATATGACAATTAATTAATTGTCATAAATAGTCAGATATTATAATTGGAATGATTGAATCTTAATGGACGCTCTTATTAAATTCAGTTGAATTTCATATTCATCATAATTATTTCTTTAATTTGATAGTTGTTATTGATTTATTCTAATTATATCTTTAAACTCCAATTCCTTTTTTCTTTGCATTAAAAAATTAAAATAAATTTATGGATGATTAGTTCGCCATTAATATTTTAGATTAATTTGAGTCATTGATAAGTATTAATAGATATAATCTATAACAATATTAAATCATGAATAATCTTATTAGGATTTCTTGTGATCAAATAAACTCTATTACCACTTGTTTTTTATGCATAGGTAGAATTTTCCAGATTATTATTTCTTTGTAATTGTAAATTTGAAATTTTCTAAATAATAGAATAAGGAGATATATAAATATAGATGATAATTTATAATATATTTTAATATAAATTTAAATATTTAATATAAATTAAGAATATAAATTTTTTGATTGAAATATAATGTAAAATAGATAAAATAATCAAATGATTCTTATTTGTTCATTATTTTTTCATATATTTTCTTACTTAAATTTAACCAGTATGATAATCCCAAGTAATTAGATATTCACCATTATCACTCATTGTTCCAAATATACTTTATGTTCTAAATTGAATGCTTTGCAATAAATTAAATTGCATATCTTATTATTACTCTGATTTAGTACTACTCATATGAATAATATTAATAGTTTGACCATTTTTGAATAGGATAATTTACTTTTAGGGAATATAAATAGCAGAAAAATATTCATAACAGGATTCGTTACCTCCTTTGACTGAAATATATTAGGATTTAATATAGTCTCCCGATAGCTTATTGGAAGTGTAGATTTGAAGGTAATTTGATTTATATGGTTAAAATGCGAATATTTGATCTGAAATGTACGCCAATCTAGCCCCATTATTTTCTACATTAATTGTTTTAATAATAATCCATTTTTATGTATTTGAACCCTTCATAACCAAGATTACATTATTATTTCCACATGAAATTAATTCATTTCCATTTTAATTCAATGATAATCCAAGATAAACTGAATTTTCATGGCTTATTGTTTAATATTAAACCCATTGTTAGTGCTATGTAATTTCAGAATAAGAAGACCAAAATTCAATAGAATTTGAACCACAAATTATTAGATCTTCACTAGGGTGAATGACTAGA